CGCGCGATTTTTTGCGCAGCTCGTCAGTGAACAACGGCTCTGTGTAGTTAATGCTGCTCAATGTGAAAGCCCGCAGGTGATGGAGATTTACCGCTGATTACAGAACCGGCTTTCTGACAAGATGCGCATTAAATATCGCATGCAATTTATCGTGCAGCCCTAGTCTTAAGTGAGTATGCAATGCACACAGACATAAATGTGCGAAACACACACACCCTATGATTCACGCATTCACCCTGGAATGATATAATTCATGGTTGTGACATATTTCACACAGCCGCCCTTGATTAGCCTTTAGTTTGACCTTCACCATACTGCATTAGTCTCTCTCTCTCTCTCTCTCTCTCTCTCACACACACACCGTTGTAAGGACACTGTGTGAATTGCACAGTGTCTGTCTGAGCTGTGTTATGTGAAGGTCACTAAGTGCAAGTGCAAATACAACACTGTATTTGAGCGAGCAAGCATGCATGCATGGGGGTGTGTGTGTGTGTGTATGTTGGATCACTGTTTTCTTTGCCCTCAACATGTCAAGATCCCATAACGTTCTATATACAGTATTATCTTGAATATCATGTAATGTATACACATGAGCACATAACAGAAATAATAGAAATGACAATAAATAAACAATACATTAATAATTATAATAGCAATAAAAAATACTTTTTAATAACAAAACAATTAATAATATAATTTAATAATTTATTATTTTTTAATTGCAATTATAAATGCTTAACTGTTGTTTTGTTTAAATATATCCTATTCACATAGAATTAATATTAACAATTTCATATTTTACTAGTTTAGGATTGGCAAGAACAGTAATCTCAAAAGTTGATCAAAGAATTCAGTAAAATTAGAAAAATAAATATTATAACTATTTAAAATAAATTATAATAAATTTCCATTTTATGTCACATGATCCTTCAGAACTCATTCTAATATGCTGATATGGCATTATTTTAACAGTTGAAAACAGTTGTGCTGCCTAATATGTTTTGGTGCTACATTGTTCTCAGTATTCTTTGATAAATTAAAAGTTCAATGTAAAAATTATTTACTGTCATTTTTGATCAATTTAATGCATTATTGCTCAAAAGTATTGATTTCTTAAAAAGAAAAATATTTTGCACAGTAATGTGTAGAATCTGCTGCCTTGAGAATTGAATGGTAAAATTATATCTAGTGGTGCACACTGGTGGCATGTGTTAAGCACTAAAAGTGCCCACTGACAAAATGCCATGTCCCAGCTTCTGAACTACTTGACTGTTTCATCAGCATCAGGCCAGAGACTAAACAGTTGGGCTTTAACTTGATCTGTTCTGAGCCAGTAAAGCCAAACGAATCTACAGCATCACAGTCGAGCAGTGTTTGCCCAGCACTGAGGCAGCATTAGATCCATGTTTATTCAGCATTGAGCCATCAGCAGGACTCCTCAGGAGCAGGACATGAACAGCAATCAGGAGCGTGTTTGTTCTGCCTGTGACAACCCAGATTAATGGGGCGCCTCTGAGCCTCTGGACTGTGAGTGCATGCGTATCAGAGAGTGTTTGAGTTGTGCAAAGAAGAATACATAAGCAGCATAAATGTTGCCAAACACATCAAGGGCTCGTGCATATCTAGGAGTCTTTACAGGCCTATATTTGTCCAGACACCCACTGAAGATGACTTGTTATGAGCACATGAGGAAAGTGTTGAGAGCAGTAGTTCTCATTGGACCTCCTGTCTGACGCACTTAACAGATCAACTCCAGATCATCTTACAGCTTTGTGTTACACCGGACAGGGCAAAGCTGTCTCGCCTGGGTCGTTACTCTGGCAACAGCGTCCCAGAGCAACCGGTCAATGGCACCAGAATGCCCCAACGTCCCGTCTTGCAGAGAGCCATATGACTGTTTAACAGAGCTTCAATTTCAGAATCCCATCTGACATTGCATTACAGCTTCCACAAAAGCTGCTTCATGAACACTAGCTAATATTTATGGCCTTTTGATTTAAAACAGAGTATGTGTCTCTAATAACACACACGACATGAAGGTATATACCTTGTGGCGGTAGAAATATGTAATCTAAAGACACCCACTCTAACTGAATGGATTTTCAAAAATAGGCAACTCTTCATAGTTATGTAATATATAAATAATTTCTGGTCGAATATGCAGTAAAAAAGTCCTTGTGTTAGAACATGTATATTTATATATTTGTAACATCGGAGAACTGACCATTTTCCCTCGCTGCTGAGCAGAGCGTGTCTCTCTCAGGGTGAACACGTTTCCGCACACTGAAATCTCTCTCCACACACCAGGTTTGGAGTCCTCAGTGAAACCAAGGCGAGGATGCATTACCAACACGCCGTTAGTAGTCAGACCATCCATCTGTCCATCCAATGTCTTCCACTTTGCTGCTTTCTCCTGTGAGCCAAAAAATATTAGCATTTTATTTTAAAAATTAAAGGGTTAGCGCACCTGAAAATGAAAACTGTCATCATGTACTTATGACATTCCAAATCTGAATGACCGAGGTTCTTCTGCTGGAACACAAAAGAAGATATTTTGAAGAACACTGGGAACCAAATTAACATTGGGAACCAAACACTGAAGCCCACTGATTTCCACTGTATGGAAAAAAGACATCCCTCAAAACATCTTCATGTTTCAAATAAGAAAATAAGTCATATGGTTTTGGACCAACGTGAAGATGAGTAAATATTGACATTTTAACATTTTGAATGAACTAGCCCTTAAAAAAAACAAAAACATTTTTTTGATTCAACAAAGTCCTCAGGTCTTTGAATAAATGTTGACATTATTATTTTAGGTAGATGATACAACATTCAATTTATTAAAAAAGAGGAAATCTTTTTGTATTCCAGATCTGTTTTTATTATAGATTTTAGCATATTTGGCCTTGTTTATGCTTCTCAAAAGCCGTGCTAGTTTCTCGGGTCAAATCAACCACTGCCTTTATATAAGATGAAGTCACACGTTCTCGCCATCTCACCCCTAGAAAGATGTTCTTGGAGGAGTCGAATCCGGCAGCGTAGATGCGGGCGGTATAAGGGGGCGTTCGCTGACACATGATCCGGCATGCGAAGCGAGATATGGTGCTCTGAACTGACTGAGTGTCAGAGTTGCTCTGACTCCCGGGAACCGTGTCGGTCACCACAAAATCTATAGGATTCTCAGTTGAGCGGCCAATCTGAGATGCAGAAAGAGATGAAACATCAAATGCTGCAGAGAAATTTGTAAGATTGCATCCCAGTACACAATTATAGAAACAGTGTAGGAAATACAGAATCAAAGTAGATGCTAGTGCCACCTTGTTTCTGCCTAGTGACAGCATTATTTCAGGCTGACACTTTGAGTAGTGAGATTAACGGACACTTTTGAACACAGTCCAAGAAGAAGTCCTAAAGGACAGCACAGCTGAGTCAGCAGTAAGGCGCTACCTGAAACATGTCTGTATTGCTGTCTTGAGTGTACTCCACCACCACTGTCTGTACACGGGACAACGTGTAGGAAATACTGTGCTGATCCTTGTTACTTATGGCCTAAGAAAAAAGAAAGAGATATGTTAAAATAACACGCTGAAGTCAAGATACATATGCCCAAGATATCACCACTTAACCACCAACTAAAAATAAAATAAGATAAAATAAAAATAATTAAAACACATACACCTAAATCTTACTGCCATAAATGTGGCTTTTTTTTTATTTATTAGTAAATATGCTCATAACGTAAATGAGTAAATAAGTATTATTATAATAAAAATAAGTTAAATTAATAAATACAATTTAAAAATGAAATACATGAATATTAATTCACATTAATTTGGCCAGCAAAAGTTTATTGGGCAGCACAAAAGAGTCTAACACACTGTGGAACCAGGCCGAAAGCTGTTTGTGAAGGAGCCACAGAGAGGTCATTCATGAGCTCAACAGAATCCAGATGTGTGAATGGACACACCCTGTTCCATTACAGCTAAAAACCTACCTAGTTTTTGAACTCAAAACTTCCCAAGAACCAAAAATGACACTGTAACTGCTGATTCTCTTAAATGGTCCTGTGTATTGCCTAAGTGGAGGGTGTGTGTATACCTTGGCAGCCTGTGGAGAGCAGGCTACGTGTACAGTGCTGGGTCTGACGCCGTTGGATTTGGGTCTTTTGAAGAGTGCAAACCTGCTCTTCCTTCTGCCGCGGTCCCCGTTGGGTAGAGAGCCATTATACCTGCAGAAAGAGAGTGAGAATTTCAACTGAAAACACCTGCACTCAACACTTACTCCACCACCAATTCAGCCGCAGGCAACAGGTGGTGAAAACAACAGACAGAAATGCTAACAAAAGCACACAAAAACAAAGCCTGTATGGTAGATATTCGATCCAATGCTTTTCTAAGGAAATGCAGACAGTCATTTAGGTTGTTATCTGGAACCAAAACCCAACCTAAACCAAATTCCACACAAAACCATTCCAGAGTCACAAAGTTCATGATCAACTCTTCATAACATTTATATTTTGGAGAGATGACATACTGAACCTGACACAAACCCATGGCAAGTTTCTTCGGTTAAAAGCCTGATAACTTGTAATATCATCTTTTTTCATGGAGCCTAATATGAACAGGGCAATCATGTGCAGGTGGTCAGTATCCACAGAGACAGGATTACCATGGTGAACAGGGTTAGTAATAACGTCACTTGAAATTTGGCATTCCCACATTCATATGTGGCCTGAAAGTCAATTCAAATCTGATTTATGACAATGTGTCAAGTAGTTACTTTTGTAATTGAGGATGTGACATGTAACATCATACACAAAGTGAAGTATTGTCCACAACTGACTGAATTCACTCATTAATGCACACGTGGCATTCACTACTGTATATATACTGAACAGTGAACAAGCAGCTTTGGACACATTATTTGTGAAAACGCATATTTTTATTTGCAAAGTAGTACAACTGACTCAAAAGTTTGGGATCATTAAGATTTTTTAAATATTTTTGAAGTTATGAAGAAGTTTCTTATGCTTACCAAAATTTGATTTAAAAAATAATAATAATAATAATATTGTGAAATATTAACAATTTAAAATGAAAAAAATAATAATAATAATTTTGAAAAAATTTATTCTTGAAAAAATTTATTAAAATATACATGTATTCCTCTTATGGCAAAGCTGAATTTTCAGCAGTCATTACTCCAGACTTTAGCATCACATGATCCTTCAGAAATCATTGTAATATGCTGATTTGGTGAAATGAGAAAGGATTTTTTTTTTTATTAAAGGGGTCATGCAATTTCAAGTTTTCCTTTCTCTTTGGAGTGTTACAAGCTGCTTGTGCATAGATAAGATCCCTAAAGTTGCAAAGACTAAAGTCTCAAACCCAAAGAGATATTCTATTTAAAAGTTAAGACTCGTCCACGCCCTCCTAAAACGCCTCGTTCAGACATGCCCCCACATGTCTACGTCACTGTGTGGGAAGATTTGCATAATACCGCCCAAATGTTCACGCAAAGAAAGAAGGCATAACTTTGATTCTCGCTGTCGTATTGTTGTTGCCGCCGCCATGTTGTGGAGACGCTGTTTCGTTGCGAAAGCGAAACTACTTTGTTTGGTCTTCCAAAAGAGGACATAACTAGAAATCAATGGTTAAGTTGTATTTACAACACTGTTCCAGAACAGTTCAACCCAAATATTCAGATGTGTCCAGCGCATTTTACGGAGGCCTGCTTCCTGAACCTGGGAGAGTAGCCTACAATGCTGGCTGTGCTCAAAGGTTGTTTCTATAAAGTGGGGCAATACCAACTTTGCAAGGACAGTCTGGCGCTTCTGACTCACAGCCTGCAAGTAGGTTTTCATATTTAAAGAACTTGCCACTGATGATTCAAATGCGAGTTTTGAGCAGTGTAGAGTAGCGCTTGTTGTTTCTCCGATCACAAATGCAGACATGGTTTTATGTTTATGCGGCGTGAAACGCAACACGTAAAAAGACAGTGTAAGTCATTAAAAAAAGGTTTTCTTATGTCCCCTGAATGTAACAAATGCCTCATTTGTAATGGGTTTTGTCTCGACGCACCGGGACACGGCATCACAGTATGGTAAGGGGCGTAACATTTCCATCACACGCTTGAGGTTTTCAGCCAATCACAACGCACTAGATAGCTGGCCAATCAGAGCACACCTCGCTTTTCAGAACGATCAGAGCTTTGTAAAAATCGACGCGTTTCAGAAAGGCGGGGCATAGAAGAGAAATAATAATGTACAGTATGTGGGAAATAATGTGTTTTTTGAACCTAAAGTGCATAAACACATTGCATTACACCAAATACACAAAATAATGTTCCTTTTAGCAGCATCATATGACCCCTTTAAAAGATATTTCGTTTAAAGAATCTCTCTCCCCACCTTGCCGTGGTTTTGCCGTTTATACTGAAGCATTTCTTGGATGTAAAGGCTGAAGGTGAGGTAACTCTCGGCGAGATGATGGCTGAGCTCCTCGACGCTTAACAAATGTGGCTGCTCACTTAGCATTTCTCTGTAACAGCATTTACAAATTAACTTGTGCAGTTAGGACAAATTTAAACTTCTTTAATAAGGAAACAATCTTAGGATACAGCAAAGGCAAAATTATGAAACTGAGCAGTCCAAACACTTAGGGGACGGGGGTGCTGTTGAGACACGCAGAGATTATTCAAGACACATACCGCTCAACGACAGACGCCTCTGGATGCCACACTGTAGAGAACAGAGGAGCAAACAGTAAGAGCAAAAGAGGTTCCTACAACAAACTGTGAATGTATGGGCCTCTTAATGGTAAAATGTTCATGCAATCTCAAAAATGTTCAATTCTCATTAAAAAAAAAACAATTAAGCTGAATCATTCTCTGATTGGAGTTCGCTGAAGGCATGCATTGACGCTGTTGAGTGCATTCTCGACATATTTTGGTAAACTTGGTAAACCGCAATGTACTCTATAAACAAGCTTACCGATTGTGCTTGTTTCTCTTGAGGCGTTCCTTATAAAACTACACTCTCTTTTATATGGACATCAGAAAAATGCAATTAAGATATCTGGAGTTTCCCACCAGGTGACATCTTCAGCTTGAGTTAAGTGTGAAAAAGCCTAATATCCCTTACGGCAAGACTTTCTATGACGATCTCAAGAACTGATGTATGGAGGGGAAAAACAACATTAACAAACAGTTAGAGTCAGCACGGAAAGGGAATTTCATGGACATGATGTATGTGCACACCGAGCAGGGTATTTTTGCAGCAGCGTTTTCTAATCTACGACTGCATTCCTTCAGAAAACACTATGGGAACGACAGATAGAGGGAGGGAAACCCCCCCCCCGGAGAGGTGTAGATGAAGGAAGTCTTTCAGTGTCAGCTGTTGCTGGGAGGAGAGAGTGAAAACAAGGTGGTGGAGGGAAATGAGCCATCTCATCAGGAGGCTGACTCATGGAGCAGTGTGTGTGTGTGTGTGTGGTAA